GTGGGGCTACGCCTGCTCGCTGAAGCGCCGCACCTGGGGCCATGCCGGGGCCTCCTCGGGGGGCCGCCTCTACATCTCGGGGGGCTACGGCATCTCGGTGGAGGACAAGAAGGCTCTGCATTGCTACGACCCTGGGGCCGACCAGTGGGAGTTCAAGGCCCCCATGAGCGAGCCCCGCGTGCTGCACGCCATGGTGGGCGCCGGCGGCCGCATCTACGCACTGGGTGGCCGCATGGACCACGTGGACCGCTGCTTCGACGTGCTGGCTGTGGAGTACTACGTGCCTGAGACTGACCAGTGGACCAGTGTGACGCCCATGCGGGCCGGCCAGTCGGAGGCCGGCTGTTGCCTGCTGGAGCGGAAGATCTATATGGTCGGTGGCTACAACTGGCGCCTCAACAACGTCACAGGCATCGTGCAGGTGTACAACACCGAGACGGACGAGTGGGAGCGGGACCTGTACTTCCCCGAGTCCTTCGCGGGGATCGCCTGCGCCCCCGTCCTGCTGCCCCGGGCTGGCACCAGGAGGTAGCGACGGGTGCTGAGCCTGGGCTCTCCCTGCGCTGGTCGCTGCAGTCCAGGTGCCCCTCCTGCAGCTGCAGCCCCTCGCCCCTCCTGACCTCTTGTCTGGGTCCCTGTGCTCTGACAGCGCTCTCCCCACCACACGTTGCTCGTGGCCCACTTAGGGCTGGGGAGGAGCGGGCACGGCTGCCTCTGGCCCTCACTGCCTTCCTGACCCTCCTGCCCCGCACACCGCTCCGAGGGCCTATGGCCATGCCCAGGGTAAAGGGGCCGGGCCAAGGGTTGAGGCGTCAAGCCCTCCGGCCGCCCCAACCCTGCCCACGGCAGGTTGCCCTGCTGGGCCACCCGAGGAGTGCAGGCGGCCGGGTCACTGCCTCCAAGGCTCTGCGGCTTCTCTGGCCACATTTGTTTTGATCTCAAAACCTCTCCTTTCTGTTTCGTTTTACTTTCTGTTTTTTTAAGGAGGCAGCACTGCTGTCTTCTAAATGAGATTTGTACTCTGGGGGCAGCTTAAAGTGTCTCTCTCGCTGCTAACAGACGATGGATGTTGTGTTTGCGCGACCCGCTCACCGTGTAAAGGATTAACCTCGTACCTCCGCCAATGTCATCCCTTAATGTCTCCTTTTATTTAATAAAAATGTTATGGTGGAAAGACGGAGCAGCCGGCGCTGAGCCTGGGCGGCTCAGCTGATTGGTCACAGATTGCTGGGGTCCCCCATGTGTCTGGGGCTCCTCTCCTGGCCTCACAGGCGCTGGGGGGCTGGGCGCCCACAGCGGTGTCTGCTGGGGGCTCCACATGGGCCTGGGGACAGGCAGAGCTCCAGCTGGGCGGCCTCGAGGGGCTGGGGAGGGTCTCTCCATCCCCCAGTGGGCCTGACCCCAGCTGCTCAGTGCTGGTCCCGAGTGCTGACCACAAGCCGTGGGAGGCAACACAAGGCCGGTCCTGCAGGGGACGTGGTCGCTGCTGTCCCTTTGGCCCAGCAGCTCCTCCAGAAGCCCCCAGCATGTTGCTCCACTAGCAGCGTTGCCCCACTCTGCCTGTACACTTAGGCACCAGGGCCAGACGCCCCAAAAGACTCCAGACCTGGGCGAGCAGTGCTAGGTGGGGACCTGACTGGGGGCCGGGGGAGCCCTCAGGTTGGGGCATGGGGTGAACGCTCTGTCCTTTCCCGAAGCCTCAGCATACACTGGCCCTGCCCCCACCCGCTCCCCAAAAGCAGGCTTTCTGCTGCAGGCTCGGCCCACAGGGGGGCAGAGGGGCCTCTGCCAGCTGCAAGTCCCCCGTCAGCTCACACCTTGGAACATCTTGTCCCCGATGAGCTGGCAGGGGTGCCGGCCGGGAGGGGGACGCTGCCCGCCGACAACGCATGGCCACGCTGCTGTCCCTGGAATGTCCTCAGCCCCCGCCCCGCCCCCGGAAGAAAGGAAAATTATTTTTCGTACTGTAAACTTTAAACACGAAAAAGCTGTTTTTAATTTAGCAGAAACTGGCTTGAACATTCACTTTGTGAAGGTCTGTGTGCTCCCGAGCAAGGCAGAACACGCCTGTGCGCATACTCGCGAGCACACCTGCGTGCATGTGCGGCCCCACGCGTGGGCACGCGGCCATGGGGAGCACCAGGGCCTGCACGTCTGCCCCTCACACACATGCGTGCATGCACAGGCACACTCGCTCTCCACCGGCCAGGTCCCCAGGGCCGGGAGCCCGCGCCTCCCCAG